AAAAATGCAAGATTTTATAATCAATATATATTATTAAAGTGTACAATGTACAGCAGCTAAAACTCAAAAACGAATCCCAATATGATCAAGGGAGCCGTAGCGTAGCGAGAGGGAGGCAAGGGGCTGTATGATGCCTCGGGTGCCAAATGGTCTCCAAACAATATTTTCCGGAAAACTTCAGTTTTTATTTTGATCGATTTCTGGAAAATATATTTAAAATTAATAATTATTGTAATCTAATTAATTATTTTCTCGATTTGTCTGATAAAATTTCTACATATAATAAAAGAAAGAGCCTATGTGTGTGTGTGTCTTTCGTTCACGCTGCGCGTAAGCTAATAGACAAATGGCTACGAAATTTGGTACGTAGGTGCATCTAGACAAGAGCCAGTGCACCTCGAAGCAATTTTTTCTAAATTCCAATTAGAATTTTTTTAATTTTATGTTTTGTGATGAAATTTGTTTGATGAAATTTGTTTGATTTTTTGTGATGTACAGGTGCGGTAAGATGGCTTCCCCGCCATCTTACCGCACCTGTACATTTAGGGTTGTAGTAGTAGTTTAGGGTTGCAAAGTTTTAGAGCTGCCATAAAATAGCAAGGAAGGCAGTGTTGCCATATTTGGCAAGTAATCGCCTATTCGGCAACAAAATTGGCGATATGCCATGGACGGATGGAGAACCTTGTGGAATGAATTCTTACCGGTTTAGCCCAGAATGTTCTTGAACACAAGCCGAAAGCTATATAAACCCTGCCGCAGTCAGTTAGTGTACCTCGTCAGTTAGTCCGTGTAGTGTTGATCGAGTTGACAGTCGGTCAGCAAGTGCCGAGTGCACCAAAAGAATCTTTTAGTGTATCACGGTTAGTGCATCGTCGAGAGAGTGTGTTGTGCTCCGGGAACGACTGAACTGAAGATTTGGGAGCTGTGCTCTGTGTGTCGTTGAGTGCATCGCGAGCTGTAGCATAGAGAGTCTTGAGAGTATGTGGAGTTCCAAGAACAACCAAGCAGAGTCGGGAGCTATACTCTGGTGCTTCGCAGTGAAGCTGTCTCCACCGTTATTGCCTGACATTGTGAAGGCTGTGCCGTTGATTGTTCCAGCGTGTTTATAGTAGATCTTCGACGACTGTAAAAGTGTTTTGGAGCTGTCCTGATTAATATTGGTAAATAAAGTGTGTTTCAATATTCCATCAAGTGCTGTCGTCGTTATTCACTCCAATTCCACAAGATCCTCGTACGAACGTGAAGGAAGAAAATAACGAAACAATATATTTTAGAGTATTTAATGGCAGATTCAGCATTTTATTATTATTTGCATTATTTTCTTATATGAATATATTCTATACATAATATTACTGTGTTTTTTTGGGGGGGCGCTGAAAAGGTATTTTGCCCCGGGCGCCAGTTATGCTCGCTACGCCACTGCAAGGGAGTTATATTGCATGGCAGCCCTCTATGCCCCATCCATGTAGAAGGTTCCTGTTTTTACCTGAAGCGTGTGCTTTTGAAGAGTTGGAAGTTTCACCCTCTAGAAATTGTGGAATGTGCTCTCCATCAAAACTGGGGGTGGAAATGAGCTAAATCTCACCTGTATGGTGCTGAAAGCTGTTGCCAACGACAGGCGTATTCTTGCACTCCTTGCCACAAGGAATTTCGTGGGCTTGGGCTGACAATAGGTCAGACAAGTGATCATTAGTAACAATGACAACAACAACATTTACAAATAGGCAAAGGCACATATCCTACCGGCCTCATTGAACTCAACAGTTATTTCTGCAGCACAGCCACTAACAAAAGGAACTCATTGACCAAGTTTATCCAAGCTTTGTTCACAATTATACTATTCTGAAGTGGCCATTTCAAAGGGCAATTTTGGCAACTAAAAATAATACTGTTGACAATATCAACTTTAATATTCAAAAGAAAATTCCCGGTGAAGAGAGAATATACAAATCGATTGACATGATGGTAAACATTGAAGAAAGTGTTAACTTCCCTACCAGAGTTTTTAAACTCTTTGCAAGTACCAGGAATGCCATTAGACTGCCTTCACCTGAAAACTAGATCTCTGATGATACTAGTCAGAAATCTCAACTCACCAAAACTATGTGATGGAACAAGGATGGCCGTCAAATAACATCAATGAAGCCGAACTTATGACTGGAAAAAACATAGGATGCACAGTATTTATCTCCAGAACACCACTGATATCTACTGAACTGCCATTCCAATCTAAAAGACTGCAATTTCCAATCATATTAGAATATAGTTTTATAATTAAGCGCAAGGACAAATTTTAAAACATTGCAACATCAACCTCAATGACTCTTACTTTCCTCATAGTACGCTATATGTTGCTTGCTCTTGAGTAGGAAATTTGAAAATTTGTACATATGTACCTCAGATAACAAAATGAATAATGTTGTTTATAAACAAGTGTTGTAAATAGTTAGAATATGTATTCAATTCAAAAAGTTAACTCTTATACTTCAAATTTTATCCTTTTATTCCAACTACCACACACTGGGTACTCCAGCTAGTATTTTTATAAAATATGGTATATTTATTAATCCTCTAGTCAATCAAATGGTATATATATGTTAAAAAATATTAGTTGGAACCTTAACCCTCTCGCTGCGGATCCGCGATTTCCACGGGCAACGTAGAAGTAGCAAAATTTGCGCAACTCGAACTATGCAATCCGCTCTTTCCCTGTTCAAGGTTTCCTTTCGACTTTACTGTGATGTTTAATTTTTTATTTAGATGTCTACAATTCTGCCAAATATACAAGAATACATAATGTAACATTTTGCACACACTTTTCAGAGCTCAAAGATGTCTGGCAGGAAGCGTTTCGCGAGTAATATAACCTATATTCCTGATGATATTTCCGATATTGATAGTAGTTCTGATTCTGATTTCAAGTATATTGAAGATAGTTATAGCGAAACTGATGAGAATTTCTTGGATTCCTCCGCAGATAGTGATGAATCTGAAAATTCAAAAATGTTTGACAGTGGTGCAAAATTGATATGCAAATATTTTCATTAGTATATTTGTTGTACCTTTGTATTTTATACAATAAATCATAATTGGACCAATATTAATTTTCAAAATTTTCCTTTTATATCATTATTCTTCAATTTCAGTATTCTGACCACCTTTTTCTATGATCTAATTCTATATTGAAAAAAAAAAAAAAAAAAAAAACTCTTTTACAAAAAAAATTTTTATATTTTAACTCTAAAATATAAGCAGATTTGATGAAAAAAAGTACGCAGTGAGAGGGTTAAGTACACAGACTTGTATCTTGAAATGTATACAGGCAATTCAAGTAGTATACATATTGAAAAAAATCTGATGTGTACACCAGATGACTTCCATGTACGGAATATTAAATTAAACGCATTTTTCCCTGCATTTTACTTAAACTTATTGAATTTAAATAAATCAACTTCGTTGATAGTGCAAAAATCACAATAGAATAAATGCACTCTTTAAAATTCACTATATTTATTTATTTTAGTGACACTCTAGCCGCTAGGTTCACTTAACAGCATTGCATCTCATTCATTTTTATAACTCAGAATGCAGAAAAAATATATCATCTGAAGAATTATCAAATTGTTGCTACATGTTCTATTCAAATACTAAATCTAAAATGATGTATAAAAGAAATTAAACAAATAAAAAAAGAAACCATTTTTCACAGACGATACAACGCCGCATACCTAATGCGCATACGCTACTCATAAACATTCTCCTCTGTCTGAGACAGACTGGTGACAACATTTGCTGCTAATATGAAACACATATTTCCTCAAATTTCATTAAATATATTTCTCAATCGATTAATTTTCTCACTTCGTAGCAAGGCAAAAACACATAAAAACTCAAAATATCTTCATTAAAAATTGAAAGATATAAATAAAACATAAAGCACCAAATACAGTTGAAATAATTTTTACAAATACAATTAGAGTTTCTGCTCAAAAATAGGCAATTTGGCCAGAAGGCATATTTTTCGGTGCACAAAACTAAGTTTCCTTTTGGTCCCACTCAGCAAAATGACACTGAAGGTGCAGAAAGACTTAATTCACTATTATGCTACGTTTCAAATGTAAACAAAACATGGCTGCTATGGTAAGAAAAATCAGGTTTAGATGCATTTAAATAACTTATAAATTGTTGATGATTCTACAACTGTTACATGCGGATTAACTAAAGGCATAAAAACCTTAACTGGAAGAATATGAACGACATAATTCAATCATTTTTAAAGCAAAAAATGCACGATTTACCAACATATAAGAATAAAAAAAACTGAGCTCATGCATGCAGCCAAGTAACAGAGCGGGTATGTATATATATATATATACATTTATATACCTTTGGTGCACAACTACGTGGTATAGCAGTCCTATATACAAAATTTCAACATTCTCAGGCTACTCATTTTTGAGTTTTGCGAGATACATACACACGCCTCAAAAAAAAAACTCTTCCGAATAAATTTTAAATCAGTTTTATAATTTGTTTAGGGGGAAAAACTTTTATCCTTTCCTTAGGTACATATGTCAGGCAAAAACCTCATTAAACTGCATTTAATAACCTCAAAATGGATATTTTCATTGAAATATGATACCCAGAATTTTTTGTGATTACAATACTTCCTTTACTTCATACAAGGAAGCAAAGAGAAATCAAGGTATAAATTAGAAGGGTTATTTTGGAATTCTTAAAAAAAAAAAATAATAGTTCTTTGGGAATTTTAGGGGTTTCGAGCCAAATACTTAACCATTTGAAGGATTAAATAGCTTCAATAAATCTCTTTTATACCTAAGAAAGATGTTTCTTGATACTACTGCCTTTACAGACCTTTTACACCACTTATATTACCACAAAGTGAGTATATATACATAAAATCAACATCTTCTTTGTATTATGTTTTTGTAAAGTGAAATGCATTTGAAACAAAATTTATTCTTTGAATAATTACAAAATTTGAATTAGTTATTATAAATAGTGCATAGTTTATTGTTAAGACTTTGTTCTATAATACACTAAAATTTTAGAGCTACACAATAACAATCTAAGATTCTTTTTCACTTTTTTGCTCCTTTGGCTTCAACTGAAAAAGAAAAACATATATACATATATATAATGCTTGAGCATCCTAAAAATCTTAATTTTAAATCCAATTAAAAACTTAGATAATTTCACAAAATGTATAACAAACATTTCATGCACCATAGTGGCTTCACATTTAAGTTATAGTCTGTCCACCATGAAAAGAGATGCCTACATCCATATGATATTGCACAATCCCAGCATCTTATTTTAAATAAATCTGGAACAAATACCACATGTTCTATAACAATGGATTTAGGATTCACTCATTTGCTAACTCAAATGTGTTTTCTGCATCTATTCTTGTGGTAAAATGAACAGATGAGATTAAGTCTCTTCTCATGGTGGAGGGATTATAATCCTTCAATTTTTAAGTTGATTTACAAGGGAAAAAAATGGCTTCAGTATTAAATTCAGCAATTTGCAAAGTTGCTGCTTCAAGAAAAATTTTGATTAGGAAACTTTTTAAAAAATCTAAGTCATAGGCTGTATATATATATATGTAGTTAAAAAAATTGACTGAGGCAAAGCATACAAGGATAATTCACCTAAGGTAATAGATGTCTTCACAGAGGATTTCTAAGGAAACTGTTTCATATTTACATTGCATTTAGAAACTTAGAGAATATCTAGCTCTCTTTTTACATAACATAAAATATTGAAAAATAATTAAGAAAATATTTAGGTGAAAACAGCAGATTTATATTTCGGGCATCATGGATGGGTTTGATATGATTTAAAGGTATTTTGCAAGTTACTCAAATGGACTAAATGTCATGCTTCATGGCAAAACTAATATTCTTGAACATAAAAAGTTATACAATAATCATTAATTATGCATTTTTTAAATATAAAATTGCAACTATAAGACACAGCAGATATATTTTTCAGAGCAAAGAAAAGAATTTTTCTTCCCCTTTTCTTTCTGTTAAGATGTATTATTATCATTTGGCATAAATGTTTGCTGCTTGTAAACATAAATTTCAGTTTATACAACACCCCCCAAAAAAGACAGTTTCCAAACAATTAAAAACAAATTAGTATTTCTAAGTAATTATTCAAAATTAAGTTTATATGTTGCACAAATTCAACTTGAAAATATGAATACAGAAAGGTTTTTGCTATATATAAAGAATACAAAGAAAAATTTTCACAGTAGAATCAAAATAGTGAATGCATACCATAAAAATGCATCCCAAACCCTTCAACATAACTAAGGCTGAAGAAAGATTATTTTTATTTTCAAGGGGGCTAATCTGTTGTATAAAAGTTAAATCAATATAGCATTTAGGAAATCTCTGCATATTTACAGTTCTTGTGTATCCTTAATATATTAGCTTAGCAGTGTAGCATATGATTTGATATTTATTTTTAAATCCTTTGGCTAAATAGTAATTTCAAAGAAACTGGATAGAGATAATAATGCTTGAAAATTTGTTCTTACTGTTTGTTACTTTGTTTGTTTACTGCTTATTATACAATATAAAACAATCTTGACGAAATCTGATGGTGCTATGATCCTTATCACTGAAGACCATTTGATATAATTATTTTACATTATTTTTTTCATTGATGAAAAGGCACATCTCTTTTCATTCAAATATACTACGCAATTAAGAAGATGTTTTAATTTATTGAAATAAATAAAACTTCTACATTCATTTCAATATTTGATAAACTACAGCATTTATTTTCAAAGCAAAAACAAACATTTATTTTTCAATAAAGATCATGATTTAAATCTTATTATATAACAAAAATATAAACTCAAAGAATAAGAGATTACTATTCACTTAATCATAATAGAAGTTCAATTATCCAAAAAATCAATTTCCTTATTTTTATGATAGAAAAACAAGATTATGAAGAACTATAACATGATTTGGAACCCCTAACGTAATCCCAGTTGGTTATCAGGATCTGTGCAGTCTATAGGCACAATAGTCTTAATGGAATCATGGAACTCCAGACATTTGCAGTACTTTAGGTCTCTTATCTATTAATTTATCAAAATATAGGCCGTTAATAACCATAGGACCACCTGCAATGCCTATATAGTTAGAACTTTTATAAGATTATTAAGTTAGAACTTTCCATAAGAAATACATTTAACTACGAGATATTTTGTATTACCAAGCATAAGCATGCATTATTATATATTTATTTATCTGTATTATTATTATTATCTCTCCTCCTCAAGTCCTTCAAGTTGTCTCAAAGTCTGCTCTTAGCCGGCGAGGGGTGTACCTGGGCAAAATGGGCGAAGTACGTCGGGAGAGTTATCTCCTGGAAGGGACACCCAAGGCATGAAGGCCGTTCCATTATGCTTAGCTAAGACCTGCAGTCAATGGAGCAAAGAAAAACTTCTTCCCTTGAACTTCACCCAGGGGACTCGGTTCTTTTTGACCAACAGAAGCTGCTCACTTCCTCCTCCTTATGGTTTTGTTGACTACCGCAGATGATGCTGTATCGTCCGCCACGCAGAATAATCAGGGACGCGTTCGGGGTTTAGGCAGAGGGTCCTGTTCGAAAAGTAATCTAGTGTCCTTATAAGCTAAAAACCCTGAAAATCCTACAGTGCAGCATAAATGGACTCTCTACAAGAGCTACTAGATTCAAACTTGAACAAATTTTAGATTTTGCAAATACTCATGATGTACAAGTTATAGCAATCTAAGAAATGAAGTTAAATATGACTTCAAACTTGAAAATTAAAGGTTGCAGCATTTTTAGACTTGATAGACCCTCCAGGAGAGGAGGGGGGTCTGGCATTTCTGATCAGAGGTATCAACTGCAAGACTCCTACTTCTGACCTTGAGATTCAGGGCATAGTTGTCACATGGAGAGGCAAAGCGTTTCATATCTACAATGTATACCACCCCCTTAACTGATTTCGACTTCCTGAAAGCATTTTGCTGGCTCTGAAAGACAACACGCTTATTTTAAGTGACCTCAATGCCAAACTACCTTCTGGTGTTGTTCTTCAAGCAATGGCAGAGGAGAAGAACTGCTGCTTTTAATAGATGACACTGGGTTTATGATACTCAATGATGGTACCTCTATCCATGCTTTCTATAGCTATAATACCACAGAGGCGTTAGATATTTCAATTGTCAGTTCAAACATCCATCAATTATGCAAATGGACTGTGATGGACTCTATTGGGAGTGACCATCTACTTATATTTTAATTAATATAAGGGAAAAACAGCACATTCAGAACATCAGAGAACCTTTCTGGAACTTTGCTAAGGCTGACTGGAACTCCTTCCCAAAATCCGTTGATAACTGCATTAATACAGAGCATTTGACCGATAATATAAATGCTAACTGACTTAAATTTAAAGACATAATACTATATGATGCCAAGATGTATATTCCAAGAGTAACATAAAACACTATGTGCCATTCCTCATTCATGAACACCTCTTTTAATGAAGAGAAAGCTCCTGTTGCAGGAGAATACCGATAATGATAATAATCTTAGCTCTAGAACCGATCTAAATAAAATAAATGATAACATCAAGATTGCTTATGCACAACTAGGCAAACTAAATGGAGAGAGCTATGCACTAAGCTTGATACGAGTGTCGGATTCTAAGCTCTGGAAAATTATCAAAAGCATAAATAGAGAACAGCCACAATCTGAGACTTGCAGTGCTTTAAAGAATGGCTCTATACCAAGAACTTTACTCAAATGAAAGATCTAAATATAATATGGCATATTCCACCTATGCACCAATGGTATATAGGAACATCTACTGGCTCCCTACTGGAACTCAAATGTTACCATGGCTCCCAAACTGCTCTGGCTAGACTACACCTTAAATGTCTTCCCATTGATAGTGGCAGAAAAATCCACCCCGCTTGTAAAAAATGCTGTGACCATCCAACTTCACCTGATCACATACTGGGTTGCATCAGACTTTCTAAGGAGGGCTTAACATCTGATCCCCTCACTATTATTGATTTTTCGAGGGTCAACAACCTTCTGGAGCTGATCTGACATATGTCAGATCTTTCAAGGATAAGCAACATTATTATCTCTGTATATTATAATTATTGATTATTCCTTTAATAATATTTAAAGGCAGCTAAGCCATGTTATATGGAGAACACTATACATTAAAATCATCTGAACATAAGTTCTAAAATTCATTACTTTTTTCAAATAGCATTTAGAGATGAAAGGTTTTTAATTTCAACAATGCAATACCTTTCTCAAGCATTTCAACTGAATTAAGTTTTATATAAGCAGGGATTGCATTTCCTTTAACAATATCTCATTTTAATATGCAGTTTTTGAAAAATCTATATGTGAAAGATGACTTGGTATAATCTTAAAGTAAAAACATATGTATGCCCATTAACCCCTTAACTGCCGCGGGCGTATATATATGCCATGCTCAGACGATGCGTTAACTGCCCTTCCAAAATACTATCATTTGCTTTGTGCTGCTACTCGCAAAATTATTCACAAAGCTTTGGAATGCAACACCACAATGACCTTGACAAAGTATGCGAAGAACGATACTATTTCAGAGAAGTGTGGGGAGAAATTAGAGAAAAAGATGTGTCTAAGGAGGTGAAAGTAATGACTGTGCGGTATTGGCTGGTGTGGTTTGAGTAAAAAATATTTTTTTTTATTCTGTGTCCTTCGTTTTCATTTACTTTTTATAGTAGGTTGCAGGAATAAAGAAATATATAACGGAAGTTTCAAACCCATTTATCTTTTTTCAATTATTTTTTTATGAACTACTCGTGCTTCATATTACTGAAACTAACCGTTTTGTAGACGAGTATATGAGCCAACACCTTGCAAATTGTTGAAGTGGCCAGGGATTGAAACGAAGAAATCAAGAACAATATCATGGCATTCAACCAGTTCGGAAGAAATATATGTTTTTTTAGGCATATGGATTTTTTCGCAAGGCAATGTAACACTGAAGCCTGATATTACACTTCACTGGTCTAAAAATGACTTGATCGAAACTCCATTTTA